CTTGACATACTTCCTGCGATTTCGGGGCTATTTTTGAGTTAATAAATTAAAATAAATAAAATAAAAAATGAAAAGTAAAGTAAAGTCTACAAATTGTAGAATATTTCATACTCCTCGCTAGTTATGCACCTAGTAATAATTTTCAAATGCAGTGATTATTTGCAACTTCACATCAAGAACACACGCAAATAGAGTCTTCATGTGAAAGAAACCGTCTTGATGAAATTTGCGTGAGTTTAAAGTTAGTTTAGTTACTCCTCGCTGATCCAGTAACCGTGAGGTCGTCCTGTCAACCGGATGCATAAATTCTTGGCAACAATTAATGAAATTCTTTGTTGCACCGCTGGAGTCGATGTGGTGTGGACTAGAGTGGCGTGCGAGTTCTAAAAACACGTGAGGAAAAAATAAACGTCCAGAATCACCGATAACTTTTAGTGCGCGTAAGAGTAATCGACGAGGAAAAATGATTAACATGCCTGGAAACTTTCTTAAGTTGAATTAATTGTTACGCTAGTCGCCATGCTCCTATATTTATTTATGTGAAGTCCGATAAATGCAACGAACTGCAACAATAAAAAACGTCAAACGCTGAAAACAATAAATTCAGACCCTTCTCTCTTGCCTGTTGATAGGAAAAGCACTTATAAACGGTGCTTATTTTTAAGCTCAAATTTGTCTCACTATACATACTACGTATTGCACGTATACGTATTGTACGTATACGTATTGTACATATTGGACCGCGTTAAACAGAAAGGAACCAAGTCGCATCAACTATTACAAAATTTAATTTGTACTCGAAAACGGTTGGGCGGATTTCTGTACAAATTTCAGTGAATTTTTTGCATGTTATGAAGTAAGTTCCTAGAAATTTTCTAAGGAATCCGCACAATAGATCTCTTGTAAAACATTGAATTGCCCAGACATAGCAATTGCTGATATGGGTTGGTTCCTTTCTGCTAAACGCGGTCCATTTGAAGTTTTTCACGGGACATCTGGTATATCGACGGTGAAAGTCGGCAATCACATAACTCGTTTGCGGTGTCTGAAAATCTCCACCTCTACGTCATTTTTTTAAAGGAGAGCAAATTGACATTATTTCTTGAAGTTTTTGCAGAATTTTCTTCGCATTGAGAAGAAATATCATGGCAGTTTTAGAGAATTGCCGTTGAGTAGTTTTCCATTTAAAAAATAAAGTATGACAGGAAGTCTGCGACGTCGCAAACCGAGTTATGTGATTGCCGACTTGCACCGTCGATATGGGAAAAAGGTATACCTTAGCACCAAAAAACTCAAAATTGAGATATTAATACCGGTGCGTGAAGGAATGTATGGCAAATACTTAAACACAAAACCTTCTCAAAAAATGAAACCAGTCCTCTAGTGTAATAATATTAAGGGAGGGGGGGAGGTGTCAAAAACTTAGTTTTGAAGAAGAAAATTTGCATTTATCATCCAAGATTAGGATACAAAATCATCGGATGCAATCATACGCTCTAAATTGGTGCGGAGATGAAATGAATGCTGTCACTTTTTTGGAATGCCCAGGAATTTTTCCGTAAGAAATTAAAATCCCGCGTAATTTGCTCGTCCTATGAGGAATATCTGGTGAATAAAATACAAAAATTAAATATGACCTGAAAGGCATACACTCTCAAAATAAAAAAAAAGCACGTGCGTCGAGTAATTTGTCAGTGATTTAATCTTAATTTTCCATTTACATTAATTTTCATTTCATACCTGGGACTTCATCAGATGAGACCGAATGACGGGAGACCAGTCGTGAGGCGTGAATGATCGATCATCGATATTTCCCCACTTGAAGCTATGGTAAAGAATCGATTAAGCAGGTGTTCGTAGCGAACACCCTGTTTATCGATCCTTTTCCATAGGTTTATACGGCAGATTAATCGAGATATCGCTAAGCACTCCACGCCACTGCGAGAGACGACACCCAATGATGAGGCAGGTAGAATTTCCCGAGCGGATGACATAACCAAACTTGTTAAGCAGGTCTCGAGAAACGACGCGGACTCCCATTGATTATACGGAAAATTATGATTACGAATACGTTGTAGAAGCTAGTTATGAGTGATGACACTGCGGGTAAGGATTCGAACAAAATTAAAATGTTCGAGATTTAAACCACAGATTCCAAAACTGCGATCAAAAAGAAATTTACGTCTCAAAAATGGACGTAATGTTGGCAGGGGCGTGAAGAATTTGCAGGTGTCTTAAATTATGTGAATTTCATCTTTAAAATATTACTGCGAGGAAAACTGAGTGCGGGGATATTCTTAGTTTCTGAATTGAACAATTATTGGATAAAATGTGACAGAATAACCTAATCTGGTAAAATAAATGTGTTTAAATGGGAAATGACGTCATAAGGCGGCAAATTTTCTCACTCTAAACTCTATTTTTGTCCAATTTCCCATGCCAGAAATTATAAAAAATACTGTGAACTGAGCTCATTAGGTACTACCAGATGAAGCAATAAAATTTTTGTGTGCAAATTTTCCACACTCCAGAGGAAGGGAAGGGGAGGCAGAAGTTGTTAAGAAGGGGTAAAATTAACTGCATTGAGTAAAAAGGAATCAAGTCACATCTAACATTGCCGAGTTTCATCGGAAGATTTATTTGTATACGGGAGAACTATAATATAGATTCTTTCGAAAATTTCAAGGGATTTCCTTGTTGACGTGAGGTAAATTCCCTAAATTTTCAAAAGAACTTGCACAGTCTTTCTCCCGTAGAAAAATATTGTACCTACAAAAAAATTGGCGACGGCTGATGTGACTTGGTTCGTTTCTGCTTAACGCGGTCCAAAGGGCCATCGATGAGTCCGGCATCACTCAACTCCAATTTTTGTAGCCTAGCGTTTAAGTCTCCGAGGTTTCTTATCAGAGGCGGATCCAGCAATTTGGCAACACCGAATTTCCTCCATTCAAACCTATGCTAAATAATCGATTCTTGTCGGAGCACCTGGCCTCTCCAAAAATCGATACATTTTCATAGGTTTACGTGGGGGAATTCCGGTGTTGCCAAATTGCTTGATCCGCGAATGTTCCTTATTCCTTGTTCATATTCTGTTCTCTCGTTAGGGCTAGAACTTTAAACTCTTGAAATATTCCCTAAAATCGATCAAAAGTAATCAAATCAACTCTAAAAAAGGAGAACTATTAAATACAAGCGAGAGGTAGCAAATGCCCCTATACCCTTACGCCCCTAGTTATTATGCTGTATTAAACTGTCAACCTTGTGTCATTTTTCAAAATGGCCTAAAAACTGAGGTCATAGAAGAGGGAAAATTGGTGTCTTAAACTGAATCTTGTCCTTGATATCTCCGAATCGATTTATCAAAAGGACTGCGCATGAATCTCCTCTTGAGCTTAATTTTCCTCTTACATAACGAAGAAGCAACTTGTTTCCGAAGCAAAAACCCAATTGAAACGGTACCTGGGCATAAGTTGCTCAACTTGGGCGGATCCAATTATGAATCAGGAAATTTATGGATTTGGACGACGATTAAACGGAGAAAAATATATCCATCTTCGATTTGGAAAATGTTAAATCACATTTAATGATAGTATAGGAGAATACAGATTATCCTTCAAAATTTTTTACATTTTTCTCAGCCTTTTCAAGAATATTCTCCGAAAATTCACGCCGAGGTTACCATTACCCAGAAGAAACTGAATTTTTGATTCGCGATTACGGTTATAGAAAACATTTCCTACGGTTCACTTGAAATTCATTGTTACACTTCATTGAAAATGTGTTTTTTCATTACATAAAATGGATTTCTTAAGGTGGGTTACTGAAAGTTCTGAAACATTGTGCCAAGGTACACACGTTTTTCTGCTATGATACATTGTTTCCAAAAAATGTAAAATGGCGTTTACGGCGTTTTTGCGTTGCACGGCAGAGAAGCACTTGTATTGAAGCAATCCATAATACATCAGATAATTACCATTATTGTTTGTTTAATGTTTTTCCTCCGACTCGGCAAAGAGAGGAAACTCGAGGCGGCACAGGGCGAAATACGGACGGATGAACGTTTTTTAAGACGCGGAGTGGCATAAATTGTTTTTTGATTATCATTAACCGCGGATCTAGATGACCAGATTCTCACCGGCCTTGCGGTAGGTCAACGAGAGTTCATCAGCCGATTCTTCATAATTAATTCTGCTTCCAAGTTATCTCATCACCCTCGTTCTTCGCCTGCTGCGGAATATTTCTGCCTGTGACAGTAGATCACTCATCATGCAAAAAACAGGCAATAGGCGAATTTTCGCGAATAGGTTTGGTTGACTTCTTCGACCGAATTCTATAACGAGGAACGTTTTTTCCCCCATTCCAATGGTCTGTTGAGCTCGACGGCAACCCTACCATGCTCAGGAAAAACGCCGTATGAACCTTCAGGCGTTGCCAAATTTCCTTTCGTAGCTCACGTATTTTCGGGGGAAAAATGTAAATATTTTGCTTCCCATTTTTCAGATAATTTTCTTCGCTATTTCGCCTTAAGTTTCCAAAAATTTGAGAGTAAAATATTCATAAATTCCCTTAAAAACAAACATTTTAATGAAGGAAATTTGGCAACTCTCAAATGTTCGTACGGCGTTCTTCCTTAGCACGGCAGAACTGGTGTCTGAGCCAAAAAAAAAAAATTAAAAACTTAGAAAAATTAAAAAATTAAAAAATAAAAAAAAATTAAAAAATGAAAAAAAATTAAAAAATGAAAAAAATAAATAAATAAATTAAAAAAAATGAAAAATCCAAAAATTAAAAAGAGCATAAAAATAAAGAAAAATATAAGAGGAAAAAATGAAGAAAGAAAATTAAAAATAAAAACTAACTTAAAAATACACATCGTCACTGGAAAGTCGTAAGCTGGTATTTTTGGATGAAACTTAAAGGTATTAAGTCGGTGCCGTTTAAAAAAAAAAAACCAAATAGGTAGCCTCTAGATTTCTAATTACGGCTTTTTCTGATTGCAGGAAAGATGCGATTGCTGATCGTGCTGGCGCTAGCGATAGCGTGCGCCTCGGCGCAGAACTACCCCCCACTGACGGACTCGGTTCTGCAAATGCTGAGTGAAGGACAGACTTACATGAACGCGGAGCCGCCGGACACGAAGATCCTCCTCAGAGAATACGATTTCATCGTCGTCGGTGCCGGTTCCGCCGGGAGTGTCATCGCTAGCCGACTCAGCGAGGTAAGCATGAGGGCGAATTGAGTTCAGAAGACAATGCACATAAAAGCAGTTTTTCTACTTCGAGAAATGTGAGAATACTATACGCATTGCGCCAAACGGCCGGTCGGGTCAGTTGGAGTTGAACGCACGATGGCGCCTACAGGACCGTTTGAATACTTCACGCATTGCACCACACACAGTACGGTCGGCTCGATCGGCTTGAAACGCATAATAGCGCCTACAAGGCTGTAGGAATACTTCACGCATTGCACCACACACAGTACGCTGAACGGTCGGCTTGGTCGGCTTGAACCGCATATTAGCGCCTAGAAGGCTGTAGGAATACTTCACGCATTGCACCACACACAGTACGCTGAACAGTCGGCTCGGTCGGCTTGAACCGCATATTAGCGCCTACAAGGCTGTAGGAATACTTCACGCATTGCGCCAAACACAGGGCGGTCGAGTGCAGTTTTTGCTATTTGGAGAAATACGTGTTTGAAGTTTCGTAATTACATAGATCTTTATGGCGAAAAGAAAGTTCAAATTGGCTTTTACATGCTTAAACATTGGAATTTTAGAGCGAATTTTTCACAGAATGTGCATTAAGACTAGTTGTACTTGAAATCGTTAATATCTCAGTTTTTTTCAAAAGCTGCTCTTATACGCTTTGTCCTCCAAGCCCCTCAATTCTGTTTTGCTACGGAAGGAACTCATATGGAAGAACTTTCAGGGTAAGACGAAGGGGAATGGAAGTATGGAAGATGAAAGGAAGAATGAGAGAGGGTCTGAGAGGTTCCTCTCCATGCAGCCAAGAAGATCCTCCATGCTGCCATAGGAATGCCGTATGAACATGCGAGAGGTGCCAAATTGCCTTCGATAAAATGCCTATTTTTGAGGAAAGTTATAAATATTTTTCCTTTAAAGTTTCAAAATCTTTCGGTGAAATTACGAACAAAATCATCTGGACGATTGAGAGGAAAATAGGTATTCATAAGTTTAAGGAAGCCTGGAAGATTCTCTGCCCCACGAACGTCAAATTGATCAACTTTGAGTTGCCGTCGGGTAAATAGTGCTATTAAAGTAATTATGGTAATTCCAAGAAATTAACACTTTTTTCTGTCACAGGTACCAGAATGGAAAGTTCTGCTCATCGAAGCTGGTCAGGAAGAGAATATCGTAATGGACATTCCATTAGCTGCTAATATGCTTCAGTTTACTGGCATCAACTGGAAATACAAGACAGTGCCATCCAACAAATACTGTTTGGGTAAAAAAAATTTGAATATTTTTTCACAGATCCTATAATTTAGAAACCCTTTAGATTTAATTCAAACAAGCTTGAATGAAAAAATTCTCCTTGGGTATAAAAAAAAGAGAAAAAAACTCGGGGGAAAAAGGTATTGGAAGTGAAACCATCCTCTTTATTGACAATTTTTTGTCGGTATCACTCCGTAGTAAAGTACGTCTTTATGACGTACGGACGTACCGCTTTGCTGGCGTAATGTGGACGTGACCAGTATGTTGATTGACGTATATGACGGTAGCACTGACGGAGTGTAAAGTGATTGACTTAAGTCGCGGGATGGTTATCGACACAGGTTCGATAATCGGTTTCTTGATTCCCTCGTCAATATCATCGATACCTACTTAAAAACTTATTATGGGTACGTTTTAAATTGTTGACAGAGGAAATTAATATTCGTTTCTAGAGACAAATGGCTTAAAAATTACGATAAGTAGATCGAGAAGGTCTAAAATTCACAGGATTGCCAACGAATTTAGAAAATGAAATTCCCTGACATTTCCCTGACACATTTTGGTGAAATTCCCTAACCATTGAGGATGTGATGGACGGTTAAGAAGTCATAATTGAAAATAGTTCTCAGGCAAAATTTCTTGTTCAAAATCATGAAGGCGAGTTAATATATTTTCCCTGACATTTGCGTCATTTTTCCTGACAATTCCCGGTTTTCCCTGACTTTTTAAAATTCCCTGGCATTCCCGGTTATCCCAGTTTTTCCTGACTGTGGCAACCCTGAATTCATTGCTGATTTCACAATTTGCAGGCAGATTATTGAAATTCATAGACGAAGCTAGGGGAAAAGAAGACAAAGAGAAAATTGAGCGATCTTTTCACCAATGGGTGGAAAGTGGGTGGTTGCAATGGACGAAGGAGGTAAGTAATAGACTAACCAATGACAACCTACAAGAGATCAGTTAGTCCATCATTTTCTTCTTCATTCTATAGCGACCAAACGTTTCCACCGATGGGATTGTCTTATTTTCCCATAATCTTCTTTGCCCATCAATATGTCTATGGATTTCAAAAATCAGCTCTCTGCGTAAGACATTTGCCCAAGTTCAAGCTTTCCGGTTTAAAAAGTTTAACGCTGAATACATAATCTGATACATACATATAAGTCACTCTGGTTTCACAACTTCACATAAAAACTTAAAATGACCAACGCTTTAGAACACAGCTCCTCACATAAAACCAAACAACATGTGTACTGTATATACTCATCAAACTTGACGTAAAAACTAGGAAAGTGAAGCTTTCGTATGAATGACATTCGTTATGCAGTTTGTTGTTGATTTAAAGAAAAATACATTTAAAAAAAAAGAAAAAGAAAATAAAATAAAATAAACGACACATGAAGACAGCTATCTTGAGTTTTGAGTTTCGTATGAAGTTGGGAAGTCTGAGTACCTCACCCACATCCAATAATTTCTTTCCGTACTATGGTATACCTTTTTGACGGAGGATGCTCAAACTTCCTCGATTTTTACGCAAACCGTGGAATAAAGAGTGCATTCAGACCATTTCGATATGCATAAGCTGGTTATGAAGCCGATTTCCATTTAAAATTTATTCTTTCCGTTCTAATCAAAGTTTGCGACATACTCATTGAATGTACCATATTTTGATGGCGTTCGACTGCGTTGCAGTGCGAACTGTGGTATACACCTAAAATGAAGGCGCTCAACCACACTTCCTAATTGTAACTCGAAACTGAATTCCTCTCTTCAAGTTTCCGGATATTGTCAGTGGCGAAGCGTGAATGATCGATTATCGATATTTCCCCCATTTGAAGCTTTGTTAAATAATCGATTATTAAGTTGTAAGATATTCTTTTCTCTCGAGAAAAAGAATAGTTTTCCTGGAGAAAGAAACCTGCTCCCATGGAAATTGTACTTGTTTCTCAGGGGAAACTTTTTATTTTCCCTCGGGAAGAGAATATATTCTCTCTATATTCTTTCCCGAGGGAAAATGATTATTTTCCTACGAGAGAGATATTCTCTTCTCCAGAGAAAATAGTTTCCCTGAAGAAAAAACCTGCTCGCATGGGACTTGTATTTGCTTCTCTGGAGAAACTGTGATCCTTCTCGAGGGAAAACAATTCCTTTCCTACAGGAGATATATTCTCTCCTCCACAAAAAAATAATAGTTTCATGGAAACAAAACTTCCTCCCAGTGAACACCCTGACTATCGATCCTTTTCCATAGGTTTAAATGGCAGATCAATCGATGTATCGTAAAGCACGCCATGCCACCGAATCATTTACATTTTTTCTGACTCATTCGCTAATCAGTCATTCTTGAATTTTTCCAGGAATGACAAACAATCAATGCAACTTCCCGCGCGGGAAAGTAATGGGTGGAAGTAGCGTTCTCAACTACATGATCTTCACCAGAGGAAATTACCGAGACTTTAATCACTGGGAGGAACTTGGCAATCCAGGTAAGTCGAACTTGGATGAGAGAATGTGCATCAATTAAGTGTAAATTGGACGTATTTCTATCAAACGGAACTATGTGCATCGTGACGTGAGCCCTCTCATGCATATATTCTTATGGGTATCAGGACTCATGTCTTAATGCACATAGTTCCGTTTGATAGAGATACATCCAATTAGTCCTCAATGCCTATAGCTGGCGAAAGCAGGAGATACTTGTGCAAACTCATAAATTAAACTTTTGGTGATGTTAAAAGAAATCGAAAGGAGAGGTACTAAGAAACTGATTCATTTATTTTCTAAAGTAGGATCCCTAGAGCTAAGGAAATTTGTACTACATTTTGCGATTAGGAAATATAATTTCTGACTCAGTTTAGAAACAACGTATGTACCATTAGCTTTCCTGGGCAAATAAGTGTTTTTACAAATGAGCCAGAAATTATAGTTCCGAATTGCAAAATGTAGTCCATTTAACCGAAGCTGGTCTCGAAGGGAGGAAGGGGAAATTCTATGATTTTAGATGAATTTTGATGAAGCGGTTGAAAATTTCGTTTCAAAGCTAGCATTTTTTTTTATCGAAGATTCCGGGGTTTCCGAAATAAATTCCAATTCCCCCAAGCTCCGACAAAAACTCCGAATTTTATTTAAAAGTTCCGGGGGAAAATTTTGAAATACGCCCGGATTTAATTTCAAAAATTGTCAGATTTAATTTTTAAAAAAAATCGTCAAATTTGATCAAATAATCGGTAAAACTGACGAAAACCCCAAAATTCCAAGAAAATGCCGAATAATTTCGAAAAAAGCCAAAGATTCCGGGAAAAGTACCAATTACTTGAAAAGTTCCGGAATTCGGAATTAATTCCGAGAAATGGCAGCACCGTTTCTTTGGATGATTGCCAACAATATGGAAGTATTTATGCCAAAAGGAACTATGTCTCACGCAAACCTTAAGCACATAGTTCCTTTTAGCATAAATACGTCCATATAGGTTCAAACTTATTCCAAAAACTGCAGGATACGTATCAAGAAAGCTTGTAGTAATGAAACACCAAGTTATCGTAAACAGAAAACCTATATCGATACACGAATTCGCACTCATGATGGATCTGAATTCATGAGAAATTTGGAAGAGGCGTTGCAAAAAGAAATTGCAAAATTTCCCTGTTCGCAGATGATGATAATGATCATCGCGGTTTTAATTACGGCTTATAATGGATTCTTCTTCGCAAGTATGCGCACACATAAAAAAATCGCTCAAGGTCTTGAAACAGGCCGCAACGCCTAGGAAAGTCAACAATCTCTAAGTTAAGGCTCTTGACCATCACTCTCTTTTTAAGTAGTTTTTTAGATCAATAGCTCTGCCGTTTAAAGAATACGTTGTTTCCACAGAACTTACAACCCACGATGTTATGTTGATTAACTTTCTACCCACTTTTTCAATACTTCCGGACCGCCCTTAAGAAATCCGTACTATTTCTGAACTTTCCGGAAATTCCGGATTTGTAGACACCCTGGCATATTTCGCCTTCATTTCAGCGGTTAGGCAAAAACAGTACCCACATGCCCTGACTCTCTGCATAAAGGGCTTTATTAAGGATTTTTTTGATGATTACCAGGCTGGAGCTGGGAGAACGTGCTGCCCTACTTCAAAAAACTGGAGGACATGACGATCGAGGGACCCCGGAGTGACACCCGTATGCACGGGCGCAACGGCCCCATGACCATCTCCGAGGCACCCTTCGAGACCATCATCTCCAAGGCTTTCGTCACCGGCGGAACAGAGCTTGGTTACTCCAGGGTCAATGTCAACTCAGAGCGACAGACCGGCTTCTCCCGACTCCCCGTAAGTCAAAATCTTTCCTGTCACTTCAAAAATTATTCGGGATACACTGGAAAAAAAAAACATATTGTATCTAGAGTCCAGACTCTTAGAAACATCGACAAGAAAAAGTACTCTTGATTCAATCAGAATCTAGCTTAAATCAAGAACCAAGCGGATTTCGTTTTGATTCAAGCAAAAATCCGATTGAATCAAGAGTATTATTCCTTGTCAATGTTTTCAAGAGTCTGGGCTCTAGATCCAATGTGTTTTTTTTCCAGTGCATGGAAAAAACATACGGGATTTTTCCATGATTAAAAGGAAAACCGAATTTGAGGCGTTGGGTACAGAAAGGGCATTTCTTGGTTGCGGTTTTTCAGAATCTTCAGTGCTAATTTTCATTTTACAGAGGAAACTATGGAGTGAATTTTCTAGAAATTTACGCTTTCAGCACTGTAAAATCATAAAGAACATTCAGTAAGAGTTACAACAAATTACGTACGTTTGCTTTAATTATAATGGATGAAACGTTTGCGGGGATTTTGAGACACTGCAACCAAGAAACGTCCTTTCTGCACCCTTAGTGGCTACGTGATTGGATACATTGCGATCGAACAATTGAACTCTACTTGGCTCGATTGAATTGCGATGAGTTTTGTCGCATTGAAAGCGCGGTAAAATTATAAGCGGCCAATCAGAAGGTTGAATTTTTTGAGATTGAGGTTATGTTTTTTGTTTACAATTGGATAAGCGAGTACATCGATCTATCGCTTGACGTAGTCACTAAATCAGTCTGTTTCAGGCAAATCTCCAGAGACGGGGGAGGGGGCAAACAAGGATGAGATTAGGTAAAATTTTCTTGAATGAGGGAAACCAGAAAATGTAAGAAAGATCCAAAAATCAATCAACATGCAGAATATTGCCCTAGATTTGATCGAAAATGAATAAAACTGCCCTAAAGTTGATAAATTATCATATGTGTAGGTGTAGGGTCTTCCCTGAATCGTGATGACTTTGCATGTATTCAACCATTTCTTGCCGTTCCTTGATAAATCTTCGATCGGAAATGGAAAATCTAACTAGGAATGAGAAGATGACTGGAAATAGAAAATTGATTTACAAAACGAGTAATAAGTTTTAAAAGTAGGTCTTGGTACAAAATTCAAAAGAAAGAATGAAAAAAAAAAAAAAAAAAACCCACAAGCAAAGTCCACTAGACCTGGGTTTTAAGGCACATAGAAAAACCATACGTTCAGTTTCAACAGAGCTGTCTACTTCCCGAAAGGAAACATCCAATATATTTCGGAAAGTTCCAAAAGAAAATTGTACTTTTCTTAAAAGCTCAAAAACAGCTTGCAATTGCACGTAGAGCATGAAAAATAACGTAAGTTTTTTTGTTTTGCGAATGATAGGGATGTAAACACTCACCTGTGCCCGATACAAAATTTAAGGATATTAAATGAGGTCCTTATAAAAGAAAATCAAGCATTGATTCAAGAAAGCAAGAGTGAGACAATTCAAAAACGGATGATTTTTTATTGGCTTTGATTACGTGACTCGAACGTTTAAAGCGCCTTCAATTACACCTAACGCAACAAAGATAACGCGTGCAAATATACGAGAATATCTCCCGGGCGAATACTGGATTCCGCTCGTTTGAATGTCCTAACTTAATCGTTGCTCCTGGTGTGTCACGAAATTCACCATTTGCGAAGCATATGATCACCCAACCTACAGTTTCTAGATCTTTGACTTTGACTCGCTCAACCTGCCTAGTTTATGGGTTGATTATTAAGTGACCTCCCTCTTTTTCTGTGAGTATAGTTTTCACGCTACCTGGTGCACAGAGAGAAAAATCAACACTAGAGTTTGGTTAACACGAGAGGTAAAACACAAAATATCCCTAGTCTTTGATTGAAAATTTCCAGAGAAAATGTCAGCTAGTTTTCTTGTAGAAATTTAATAAGAAATGAATGGTGGATGCCAACGTCGCAATTATTGAAGGAATGCATTTTCCTAGTTTTTCCATTGTTTTCTGCGCTATATTCACCGCAAACTATACCAAAATCAACACAAAATTTGTGTTGGTTTAAGTTTAAATTCCTATATTAATCGAAAGTACCACAAGAACACAAATATTTTCATTGGTGCTGTTACGTGCGAAAAATATGATGGCAGTTTACGCATCAATGGACCACAAGACAAGGTACGAATTTAAGTAATCTGATACTAGTTTCTCATCCAGAATTTCACGTAGAATACGATTCGCGCAACGATAATTACTGAAATCAACTCCTTACGAAGATATAAACGCTTTTATTTCACGTTGGTTCCGAAGAATTTGAACTGCCCGCTCACAAGAAACTCAAAGCTCTACGTGAGTCAAATCGAGCACTACAACGGTTACAGCAAGCTTCTCAAACGAGCAATGTTCATTTCCTACCGTGTGTTGTTCAAACTATAAGCAATTTGCAATAGCTGAGCCAAAGCGTCAAGATTGAGGTTGCCAGATTTTTATATCGCAGAGACTGTAAACGTTTAGCGCGCGATGTGAGTCACGTAGAGCGAGTTTTCATGAGCGAGTGGTTTGAATTCACGCATCAAGAATCATCAAATATCTTCGTAAGGTGTTGATTTCGGTAATTTTCGTTGTATGCGTCGTGCTTTACGTGAAATTTTGGTTAAGAAACATGTATCAGAATGCTGAAATTCGTACCTTGTCCAGCGGTCCATTTGCAATTTGACTCTTGATTCTTATGTAAAAGTTCGCGAGAAACACGGTGGTGCCACTGGTTTTCTCTGAAATCAACTCCCAAGCTCAAAAAAAGCTCTCAAAATGAGGCCAAAATGGAGGGGATATCCCACGATATCCTGAGAGTTCACCTCTACATCAAGATGAACTCTCCATGCAAAGATAGGGAGCAAATACATTAGCAGTGATGCCGTGTTTTCAGTTTTAGAGTCCCCAAATAAAGAGGCAGCCCTGTCAATGTATTTGCTCCCTATCTTTGCATGGAGAGTTAGTCTTGATATAGACGTGGACTCTCAGGGTAGGGTGGGATATCCCCTCCATTTTGGCCTCAACTTGAGAGCTTTTTTTGAGATTGGGAGTTGATTTCAGAGAAAACCAGTGGCACCACCGTGTTTCTCGCGAACTTTTACATAAGAATCAATAGTCAAATCGCAAATTCCTCACACATGCAACATCTCAATTCTAAGTAGGAATTGAACTGACCCCTTGGATCATTTTCATCCCTTGTTCCAGGTAACCCTCCGAAACGGCACCCGCTGCAGCACCTCGCGCGGATACCTGCACCCGGCGCGCAACCGCCGGAACCTCCACGTCCGCAAGTACTCCCAAGTGACCCGCGTCATCATCGACCCCAAGACGAAGACGGCCATCGGGGTGGAGTTCGAGCGGGCCCGGAAGCGCTACCAGGTCCTCGCCCGGAAGGAGGTCATTCTCTCGGCCGGGGCCATCGGCTCGCCGCACTTGCTCCTCCTCTCCGGCGTCGGCCCCAAGAAGCACCTCCAGGAGAAGGGCGTCAAGGTGGTCAAGAACCTCCCCGTCGGCTACAACCTCCAGGACCACGTGGCTTTGGGAGGCCTCACCGTCCTCATCAACCAGCCGGTGTCCATCAAGACCGATAGGATCCTCTCCAACGCCACCGCGCTCAACATGTTCCTCACCCAGCACCGCGGGCCTATCACCATTCCTGGTAAGTACTTCGAGCTAAAGCGCTAGATACACCTGCGAGTAGCAAGCGCGAGTAAAGTAGAGTACCTTTATAGACAGAGTATGGCCATTCGTACCTTTTTAATACAGGAAAACTGTGCCGCTTTCTGATTGGTCAACGAGTTTTCAGGCTACATGATGCTCTTACGGCCGTAAATAAACAAACAAGATGGCGACTCGTCGTAACATTGATGAGAAGCTAAAATTTGACAAAAATTCCAATTATACGGCAAATACAATTTAAACTAGCATATCTACGAATAACATATGAAAAAAACATGAAAACACTGTTAAATTGCCTTTCGGCTTTATCACAGGAGGATGCAATATGTGCCTCAAACTTTCTTGCTGATAGCAGCCATCTTGTTTGTTTATTTACGGCCGTAAGAACATCGTGTCAGCCTATTTGCTCACGACCAATGAAAAACCGGCACAGAAATGGACATCTATAAAGAAACTCAAGTGTAAATCGCGTTTAGGCTACTCAACGATACCATCAGAACTCATCGATGAAATTTACACGCCTTTCTGTTTACACCTGCAAGCCCAGACGCGCTTCTTGCTTGTTTGTTTACGAAACACATCCTCTAACCTTTAAATCGTATTTTTACGGTATGACGGTACTGACAAGCAGCGCTGACAAGTGAATCTGCTGGAACAGATTTACTCGGCCTTATATCCCTGAAAATTTGAAGAGCCTGGAGCATAAATGGACCGAGTTCAACAGAAAGGAACCAAGCCACATCAGCCATTGCCAAATTTAACTGGCCAATTAAATTTTTTTACGAGAGAACGTTTGTTCGGAAATCTTTAAAATATTTCAGGAATATGCTTCGTACCATGGAGAATTTTCACTGAAATTTGCACGAAAATCCGCACTAATGTTTTCATGTAAAGAATTAAATTACACGGAAAAAATGAGTTAGGGTTGAGGACTAGTTTCTGCCCTTCAACACTACCGCGCGGTACCTGATTTCGCAGTCGTAAGCCAAGGTTGTGCTGAAGCCTACCTCGCGCTTGCGTTCCACGCTAGATGACCCGTGACGTTCAGAAACAGATCTGGCAGCGCGTAGGCACAGAAACAGAAGGCTCCAAGGATAGATCCGGCAGGGCTGAAGCCTACTTGATGCAAAGTTGCCAAAATGTGCGAAAAAATCTGATTACACCCGTAGAGAATAATTTCATCGCGCACAATATAGTTTTTTCAATTATTTTTATTTTTTTTAATTTTTTATTTTTTTTTAATTTTTTATTTTTTTTTATTTTTTATTTTTTAAAATTTTTCTTGCAGTTTATTTGGCTTTTCTTCCTGTTTTTTTTGTTGCTCAGGAAGCCATAGCTAGCTATAGACACGAGTTTTTACAAAGAAATTATTTGATTGTCAACGGGCATCAGGGAGACTTTTAGAACATTCATGCTCCATAGCTCCGGCCTTTGAATTTTCAGGGATTAAGGTCGAGTAGAATCTGTTTCTGCAGATCCACTCGTCAGTTCGGTGAAAATTTGTCGCCACCACCGGGATTCGAACCCGGGATCTATGGGTCTAGAGTCAGACGCGCTAACCACTAGGCCAACCTGGCCAGCTTGCTTATGTCAAGGAAAATCGGAGTTTTCGGGTGTTGATTCTTTTCTCATAGTATTAAACTATTACTTTAAATAAAGCGCCGGACTGGGCAACGCGACGCGGGGCAGCCATGTTTTCTTTCCTCGTCCGAGGCGAATACGATGACGATAGTCGAGCAGTCCACGGCGCATACGCATCCCGGACATTCTAGCCTTCCGCAAGAGAAATTCTACTCGTGGAAACAAGCTTGCCGTGTGTGTTGCAGTCAAGCGGCGGGTAGGCGCTACGAACAGCGAGAGGTAGCGTTGACGAATACATGTTCTGTTCCTCAGGACTACCGACCCTAAAACTACCCATAGGTAGTGCCGAACCCTACCCTGATTTTTTTTCCGCGTAGCCGATAGAATTTGGCAATAGCTAAGTGGCTTGGTTCCCTACTGTTTGACGCAGTCCAAATGTGCCAATCCCTCGATGGCTCCAGGTTCATATCGGAATATACGCCAATTGACCAGCCGAAGAGAAAAAAAAGAAGAAGGAAAACCTTAGTCTTATCTTATGACTTCCGAGTGGAGTGCTGGTGAGTGAAAAATAACTGTTATAATGGATTCGTCGGATGAGGAGATCCACCACTATTACTTGGTTCTGCTGGTTTTGATGATTCTAATGATTCTAACTGTACACTTGTCATTCTTACAATATTGTAAAACACGCGTGATAAAAATGAAAATAATTAACAGGACACTGGACACCGCTCTCACTTGAATGCAAGAGCAACAAAAAAATTGATAATACAGGTACGTGATTTCGACCAATGGGAGTCGAGAACGGCGCGAGTTACACGCAAAAAGTAGGATTTGATCCTACTTTTTGCGTGTAAACAGCGAGTTCGTTCAGCTTGTTGCGAGTTGCTGTATACACCTGCGAGTTCAATACGCGCTCGCAAAAAGCGATTTACACGCGCTTTCTACTACTCGCAGGTGTATCTAGTGCTTAAGGAAAAACGCCGTATGAGCATTCGAGAGTTGCCAGATTTCCTTAGATAAAATGTTTATCTTTGAGGAAAATAGTGGATATTTTTCCTTGAAATTTTCAGACAATTTAGATCAAATTACGAACAAAATTATCTGAGAAATTGGCAGCAAAATATTCAAAAATTTTCCTGAAAATTAAAGATTTGCCAGAGGAAATTTGGCAACGCTTGGAGGCTCATACGGCGTTTTTCCCTAGCATGGCAGAATTGTCTATACGGAAGTGCTGAATTCTCGAAAGTAAAAGCTTCCATCGGTCTCCAGCAGGGTGTCTACTAAAACAGGCTGGCCAAAAATCAGTACTTTTACAGTGCTTTTTCAGTACATTCCCAAGAAATTCAGTACCTCCTCAACAGAAAAATTCAGTACTTTTTCAATACCTTCAACTGACGAAATTCCGACGGAGCACATGGGAGAATTTCATGAGCCGCCCTACGCCGTCCTCAGCGCGCATGGCGCACGAACCGTCTTTCTTTACTACACTTTATCTAGTGTTGAGAGTTCACTAATTACTTCACACGACCAGTGTGTAATTTTAAAAGTCGAAAATTAAAAATAAAAACTACACGAAACCGGAGTTTCCCCGCTAGGGAGCTCTCCCAGCAAGAAATCCTTCTCCACCCGCCCGCCGGAAGAGCTGCGGCGTGCTGTCAGCGCGAACCGCGCACTGACTCCTACAAACCTAAGGGGATACTTCACGCATTGCGCATTGCTAGAAGTATCCCCTTAGGTTTGTAGGCGTCGGTGCGCGTTTCGAGCTGGCGTGCCATAAACTTGCCCACAATTTAAAGACCAGGGTGTTAAAATGTAGGCAAGTTGAAATCTAATTCTAAATTAGAGACTCATGAAACATCGGTTACGAAACTTTCGTGATGTATCAGTCATTATCCGACTTATTTCTTCCTAATCTTGAGTTTCGAACCATTGTGCACCGCGGGCGGCGGCGCTCATGAAATTCTTCCCTGTGCTCAATCGACAAAATTCGAAATATATCAAAAATATGAATTTCTCGCTCCAATTGCGATAAAAATGAAAAAAATTCCGAACTTTCTTGCAAAGTTTCCGCACTTTTTCAGTACTTCCGGACCGCCCTTGAAAAATCAGTGCTGTTTCCGGACTATCCGGAAATTCCGGACTTGTAGACCCTTGCCAAGAGGCCAGAGGAGGGTCTCTTGTCTCTGACTGCGACATGATAATTTTTGATTGATCTCGAACTTTCCCTCTGAGATGAGAAAAATACTTAATGGGGGCGAAATAAACGTCTTCTTTCTCAAACTTAAGACTTTTGTCTTGGACAGTGCATTCTACCATGTTGACGACGTCTCAAATCTCTAGCCTGAACCCATCGCTTCTGTCATTTTCATATTTTGCTCTTACATTGCCTCACTTAAATCATTTCTAAAAAACATTTTTGTTAAATTTTTATTGATTGTTAGAAACAAGGGACCACTAGACAAGGTAAGAATTTAAGCAATCTGATACATGTTTCTTGACCAGAATTTCACGTCGAACACGATTCGCACAACGAAAATTACTGAAATCAACTCCTAACAAAGATATTAACGTTTTTATTTCACGTTGGTTACGAGGAATTTGAACTGCCCGCTCATAAGAAACTCAAAGCTCTACGTGAGTCAAATCGTGCACTACAACGGTTTCAGCAAGCTTCTCAATCGAGCAATGTTCATTTCCCGCCATGTGTTATTCGAACTATAAACCACGTGCTATAGCTGAGCCAAAGCGTCAAGATTGAGGTTGCCAGATTTTTATATCGCAGAGACTGTCATGATGACGTTTAGCGCGCGATGTGAATCACGTAGAGCATTGAGTTTCCATGAGCGGATGGTTTGAATTCACGCATCAAGACTCACTAAACATCTCCGTAAGGAGTTGATTTCGGTAATTTTCATTGTGCGCATCGTGTTCTATGTGACATTTTGGTTATGAAACGTGTATCAGAATGCTACAATTGTGCCTTGTCTACTGGTCCATTGTTGACTTGTGATCTTGTAATCTGACTTGTGCGATCCCTTAAAGGGAGTATATCGACGGTGTAAGTCGGCAATCACATAACTCGGTTTGCGACGTCGCAGACTTCCTGTCATACTTTATTTTTTGAACGGAAAACTACTCAACGGCAATTATTTAAAACTGCCGTGAATTTTCTTCTCTGTGCGAAGAAAATCCTGGAAAAACTACAAGGAAAGCTGTCGATTTGTTCTCCTTTCAGAAAATAACATAGAGGCGGAGATTTTCAGATACCGCAAACGAGATATCGACGGTGAAATTACCAAACCACGTATCTCGTTTGCGGTGTTTAAAAATCTACGCTCGCATTTTATTTTTTTGAAATAGACCAAATCAATATCATTACTTGAAATTTTCACGGAATTTTCTTCGCACGAAGAGGAAAAATCACAGAAATTCTCAAGACTGGAAATTAAGTAGTTTTTCATTTAAAAAATAAAGTATGACAGGAAGTCTGCGACGTCGCAAACCGAGATACGTGGTTTGGTAGTTTCACCATCGATATGTGATTGCCGACTTACACCGTCGATATGTACCGACTGTAAACTAAATAAATAAATAAATAACTTGGGTTTTTTCAGGGGGATGCGAAGCCCTGGCGTTCATCGACACGAAGAACGACGACCCTCGGAACACGGACGGGTACCCGGACTTGGAGCTGCTCCTCGTGGCCGGGGCCGTGAGCTCGGAGCCGACGCTCAAGCTCAACTTCGGCATCAAGAACAGCGTCTACGACAGCGTCTACCGCGACACGGAGGCCCTCGACGGCTTCATGGTCCTCCCCATGATCATGCGCCCCAAGAGCACCGGCTTCGTCCTCCTCAAGGACCGCAACCCCTTCCACTCGCCCTACATCATCCCCAACTACTTCGCCGATGAAGAGGTAAAGCCCAAAGAGCTCATTTTACTTAAAGCTCTCGATACACGATCAAATTCCGAACCAATTCCGATCAAAGTAGACCAGTTGATGACTGATGTTCACCATTCAATAGTTATCTAGCTATTTAGCATGTAGATAAAGTGCTGGACTACGTAGCTCCGTTTCTATTTTGCAGACTTCCTGATATACTTAATTCTTTCTTTGTAATCCTAGTCAACGTGATTGTTTGAAAACTACCTTGCATTTTCTTCTCTGCAAACAGAGTATTCTTTATAAATTTCAAGCTGTATAGTTGGTTTGTTTATCTTCGAAAAAATAAAATAATAACGGAAATTTTGAGACATCGCAATGAGGACACGTGCTTTTGCACTTTAGGGACAATCCCTAAATTACGTAACGCACTTCTTCGGCATTTTTGACCCCCTCCTACAGGCTGATTATTGAAATGGATAGACAAAGTGATAGATAAGGAAGACATAATGAGTATGGAGCGATCCTGTTGGTTGAAATGGGTGGTTCCTTTAGACTAAGAAAGAAAATGATAGACTAACCGCAGGTCGCTCGTTAAGTACCTCCTTTGTCCGTCGCAACCACCCGCTTCTACCAATAGGATCCCTCCATATCCCTCTTTCTTCTTCTTTGCCTAAAGCATTGTCTATCAATTTAAATAATCGGCCCGTAGCCCTTCTCGTGACGATTTTATGACGTAGGTCCCTATCCTTCAACACGTGAAAACAAAATGGCATATCGCTCTGAGCAGGGTGTCTACTAAAACAGGGTGGCCAAAAATCAGTACTTTTACAGTACTATCCCAAGAAATTCAGTATCTTCTCATTAGAAAATTTCAGTACTTTTTCAGTAGGTACCTCCATTTGACGAAATTTGAATTTCTCGCTCAGAAATGAAAAAAATTCCGGACCTTCTTGCGGAATGTCCGCACTCTTTCAGTACTTCCGGACCGCCCTTAGAAAATCAATAGTATTTCCGGACTTATATAGACACCCTGGCTCTCCTCGACCTCTCCTCCCCTAGAGCGTTACGTAATATGAGGACGACCTCTTGGCCACCCAGAGGCGGATCCAGCCATTTGGCAACACCGGATTTCCTCCATTTAAACCTATGCTAAATAATCGATTCTTGCCGGAGCACCTGGCCCCTCCAAGAATCGATACATACCGTAGGTTTCATCGGAGAAAAACAATTTTGCCAATTTGCTGGATCTGCCAATGTGGCCATATATGTTTCCACTTCTAATACGTGCGGATCTTCTGATTGCAGGACCTCGACGTGGCCGTGGCCGGCGTCCGCAAAGTCCAGGAGCTGATCAAGACCCCGGCCATGCGGCAACTGGGCGCCCAACTCCTGCAGACCCCGCTCCCCGGCTGCACGTCGATGCCGTTCGACTCGGACGACTACTGGAAGTGCCACGCGCGACACCTCCCCTTCACCATCTACCACCTCTCGGGCTCGTGCAAGATGGGCCCGGCCTCGGACCGCACGGCCGTCGTCGACCCCCGTCTCCGGGTGCACGGCGTGCGGAACCTCCGCGTCGTCGACGCCTCCATCATGCCCAAGGTCACCGCCAGCCACACCAACGCCCCCGTCATCATGATCGCCGAGAAGGCCGCCGACATGATCAAGCAGGACCACGGCAAGCGCACCGACTTCTAGGGCGCCGATCTCGCAGAGGTTAAGACTGGACCGGGGTTGCCGCCACGCAACCGCTGCCTCGGTATCACTATAGTTACTATCCGCAGGGAGGGTTACGCCCGGAGACGGATGGAGACCCTTTCAATCCCTTGGAGATACACTGGAAAAAAAAAAACACATTGGATCTAGAGTCCAGACTCTTGAAAACATTGACAAGAAAAAGGACTCTTGATCAGATTTAAGCTTAAATCAAATCCGCTTAAATTAAGAGGCTTGGTTCTTGATTTAAGCTTAAATCTGATTGAATCAAGAGTATTTTTTCTTGTCGATGTTTTTAAGAGTCTGGAATCTAGATCCAATGTGTTTTCTTTTCCAGTGTAGGTGGGATTTTCTGATTTGGAGCTTCCACCACTCAACCCTTTCTATCCCCTTGGAGATAAGTGGGAATTTCTGATTTGGAGCTTCCACCACTCAACTCTTTCTATCCTCTTGGAGATAGGTGTGAATTTCTGATTTGGAGCTTCCACCACTCAACCCTTTCTATCCCCTTGGAGATAGGTGGGCATTTTTGATTTGGAGCTTCCACCACTCAACTCTTGGCAGTATTTTCTGGTAAGCGAAGGGTTGGTCGTTTCAATAACCGTCATTTCGTTCTCCCGAGGAGGGTCTCTGTCAGTCTTTGATGCAAAACCCGAAGTCAGAAAGAATTTGAAATTTTACAGAAACTTCTAGTTTGACAAAAATGTCAAATTCTGAAAATGTTGATTTTCTTGACTGTAGTTTTATGAAAATCCTTGAAGTATTTCGCCTTAAAATTGAGAATTTCTGCGATACACCATTATTAGACCATAGCCAATTAAAAACGAGCAATTGTGGGGATAAAGGAAAATTAATGAGTCCTCTACAAGTGCCTGACCAACGGTTTCAAATACTCATTGAGGCTGAAACGTGTGAAAGCTGAAACTTTCAACTGTTTGCTTCAGGTACCGATAACTGAACAATACATCTCGCCAGTGCCCTCGAATGACGAGTTGAGCAGTCTTAACGTGTCTCGTGTAGAATCAAATTCGACGTGATAATAAAGCAGGGAATCGTAGGATCTCAATTTGACGTATTTCTGTCAAACGGAACTATGTGCATTATGACGTGAGCCCTGTAATGCATGTCTTCTTATGGGTCTCAGGGCTCATCTCTTAAAGCACATAGTTCTGTTTGATAGGAATACGTCCAATTATTACTCGAAGATCACAAGAGATCTTCTCTTTCTCTCCAGCAAATCAAACCGCCACCTGCAGTGGTTTATTTTACGTTCAAAATCGAACGTAGTTTTTCAAGATGGCCAATTTTTCAATGAGGCACTACTATTCCTGCATCATCCATAATCTGCGTTGGAAAATTTTGGAAGAGCTAGAAATAGTGGTTCTTTACTTCAAAAAGTGGTCATCGTCGGCGGCTCAACATGCAAACAACCTTACGAGGTACATAACTCATTTGCACTGAATTTTCCGACAACAAACCACTATTTCTGGCTCGATTTAGAAACAAAATAAGTGCCATTCGTTTTCCTGTACAGTTGGGTGCTTTTAAGGATGGGCCGGAAATAGTGGTTCCCTATTGCAAAATGTCGTTGGTCCATTTGACATTATGAATATGGCACTGAACAAGACACAAAACTGTCCACTTTTAATTGAGCTTTGCTGTTTTGGGGATAAATGCCATAGTATTGGTTGGACTAGTCAAATTTAAAAAAAAATTAGTGAAATTAAAAAAAAATAATCAAAATAAATAGGTAAGAAAAAAACAAAAATATCCTCTGATGTAGTTCCTTAGCCGCTCTAGTGTGCATTAACTGCAAAGAGCGGAAAACGAACAGCACACAAAAAAAAGAAATGTAACTAGAAAGAACGTTTTTTTACGAGGGCCACAAAGAACCAATGCATCTCTTGCCATTTCGACCTTTGGCTATGCAATTTTTTTTTAAATGAGCTCATGAAATTTGACTACATTTAGATATGAAAAAAATAAAACCGAGACTTAGATAAATTTGAACCAGTATTTCATAAAGATAAAATATTCAACCTTATCGTACGTGCCATGTTGATGATGTATTAGTCGACTTCAAAAAAACGATTACCAATCTATTTTTTAAGGATAAAATATTACTTTCCCTCCCATCATTCTGGGCTGAAATTTTTCTTCACAGAAACTTTAAAAGTAGAAACATTTTAATTTCCGTTTTTATGAGTTCTAGACGCCGCGCCGTTGAAAAAATTGTATACTAGGTAGTTCCAACAAAAAGACAAGCTTCAGTGGTACTCCGATCCATGGAACAGGAACCCGATTACAAACACGTACTCAACTTTTTCATTACAGGATAAAATGAGCATCAGTTGCAAAAAAGCGTTAGAAAATCTGATCCCCGAATGAAATAATTGTCTCAACAGATGTAAAACAAAATTACCTTCGGAAGAATTATTTGGACACAAAACAGTTTGCTCGAGACTCAGCGAGTCAAATGAACTAAAGTTAGACAAGTAGCTACATCATTTGTTAGAATGTAGGTATTTATTTATTATAGAAGTAAACTTGTAAATATTGACGAGAAACTTAGTTATGAATAAGCAAGCTTATTTCCTGTTTTATTTTTTAAAAACTCAAGAGTTAAAAAATTGTAAAAAATAAAATAAAATTTTACAAAATGTACTTATGCGTTCTATTATTATGGTATCAAATTATGAAGACTTTCCTCCTCTTTTTTACGAGTACATTTTTTTGAATATTATGCTGAATGTGCGTGCATGTAAAATTCACTCACAATCGCAAGTAAAACTACCCTGGCTACTCGAATTTTCTTCTGTCTATCCTACTAAATTAAGTTTGATCCGTGCAAAGACTTCAGTCAGAACAATTGGACGTATTTCTGTTGAACGGAATTAAGCGCCAAATTGAGTTCCTTTTGAGGATTTTAGAATCTCGGATAGCGCGTTCTGTCAAACGGAACTAAGCGCCATGGAAAAACATCGCGAGTACAGGGCGGAACGAGCATTGCGTTCCGCAACACCCGCCAATCCAAACCTCCCTCTCCCTTCCTCCCTCTATGGCGCTTAGTTCCGTTTGATAGAAATACGTCCAATACTGACACCGCTAGAGTGTTTTTAAGAGCACTTTTTCAAAACAAATGGGCACTTCAAAGTACTTATCATGGTACGTTTCTTGACTAACAACGAAAAAGATTACTTAGCCCTATCAAAAAAATTAAATACTTCATCTTACTACAATGTATGAGTTTGCGGTCGATTCTCTAGCAAAAATTCTACAAAATTTTAATAATTTCGGACTGTCTAAATGAGTTAAGACTTTTAAGGAACCAAATAAATGAAATATTGAAAAATAACTAATTTTTTTAAGATTATTCGGACTAGCCCGCACCGGCGCGGCGCCTCGGCAAGCAATTATGGTCGAACTCTCGGAAAATTCGATACAATAGTTTCAGTTCGATTATATTTATTGAACACTGCGACATTCCAAGTAACCATTCGTATTTAGGAATGTCTGAAAAAACTTCTCAGGCTGAAAGCTTCATAGCATGTTTCAGGCATGTTTTCTGAAAAGCTTCTCAGGTCATGAATGGTAGGAACATTGGCGATGAATTTCATTTCGAATAAATTGGGGATATTAATACTCTAAGAAATATTGACTCCGGTCTGATGAACTAAAATAGGCAGCCAAATGTCTATAATACGTCAATACCGCGATGTGATAGCGAATGATACTTGCATACACTGCAGCAGCGCATGAAGCATAACTACAGCTTTGCAGGCGTGCCGAGCGCGGTTTGTATTGGTCCGCGGCTAGACAGGCCTTCGTTTGTAAAATACGAGAACTCTACTCTATGCCCTACACCATTGATAGAATCCAAAATGAAACGGTGAGCCTCGAACTTCAGGTGTGGAATATTACACTGAGTGCATATAATTTTAACAAAACTCATGTTAGAATACAAAAATTCACTCCAAATAAATAAAAAATAGCTTAGAGTCCATCGAAATAACACAAAACCATCTTTTTCCCTGAAAATACACGTGGATGGGATGGAGCTGTGCACTTTTGAAACATAAGTATATCCAAAATCAGAACTTAATCACTCTGTTATCAAATTCACACACAGAAAATGACCATTTAAACTAATACGCTGTATGTGTTCAAAAAACAAGACAAAGAAATAAACAGAGATAGTCAACAGACTATTGACCATAGGGTAGGATAAGTTTTAGCACGGAATTGTTTCGACTGTACCTGGATAAGTTTTTCCTTAATCCATGTTATGCCTACATGATCCATGAAACCTGATGATGAAAAGCTACACAAATTCCAAATAAAGCCAAAAAAAGATCCGATAAGACAATTACTTTTACAGGATGATCCAAAAGTCCCGCGTTACCATCACCCCTGTAACTGTTAAATAAATTAAAATGGAGACTAGAAATTTTGCAATTGCTCTTGGGTCAAAAGAAACAAATTTTGGGGCTTCCCAAAATTTAGAGAAGATTGAGAATAATTTAAAAATCCGTGAAACTGTATCAACAGCCTCATCACACACATGTTTACCGTATTTGAACTTCAGCTGCAAGTTTTTATGACCATCGCGAAAAGTTCAAGAATATATATCAATGGTGAAACTGCATAAACGCATACTTATCTCGGTTGCAGCATTTCAAAATCTGCCCTCCTATTTTATTTTTTAAAAGGAGAGCAAAACAACGTCATGGCTTGAAATTGTCACAGAACATTCTTCGCATGGAGTGAAGAAATCACTGAAGTTTTCAAGAAATGACGTTGAGTGGTTTTCCATGTAAAAATAAAGTATGACAGGAAGTCTGTAACGCCACAAACAGATTTAAGTACGCATATCTGCAGTTTTACCATCAATATCAATGATGTAACTGAAACAACATGTAGTTGATTGCAGTTTTTCCATTTAAATTTTGACGGTGACACTATCTGACCACGAAGCTCAGTTTACGATGCTGCAGACTTCCTCTCATACCTACTTTAATTTTTAAATGGAAAACTTCTCAAAAATTCTTAAAAACTTCAGCGACTTTCCTTCTCTGTGAGAAGAAAACTCTGTGAACACTTCAAGGAATTATATTGATTTGTTTTCCTTCAAAAATAAA